GACTTTTTGTTGTAGGGGAAGCAAAAAAGTGGGAATGGCTTTCATGCATGAAATTTTTTTCACACTAGGGGGTATTTTCGCCCATGTAGGTTTCGTTGTAGAGGAGTTTCACTGCATAGAGAGCTAGTTTTATTATTCAAATACCAATTGGACATACGGGTGATTTGACTTCCGAGCATGGTCAAGAAAAAAAATTAAAGCACCAACAGGGGCGACGCATGACGAGCTGTCAGCAACTTCTCACCACATTATCCCACCGCGCCCTCTCTCTCTCTCTCTCTCTCTCTACAATTATTTTTCTTCAAGCGATGGCTGCTGTCGGTGCCTATTCCCGGGGCCAAATTTTGGGCCCAGCAACGTCCCTGGACACCACTGTACAGATTTTTTTCATTTGGTGTTGTGCTGTGAAAGTTCTCAAGTAAAATGTATGCCTTGGCTCAAAAGAGGTTGTGAAACACTGTTTTAATTGACAGTTCAACTGCTTATTGAACTGTCTAAGAAAACAAAAAAAAAACAAAAGTTAGACATAAAGTCTGACAAGCTTTTGACAATAGCTGGCGCACAAACGAGCCAGTCGCCAACCAGATGATTTGCTAGTTTGTCATGTGCGTGCGTCACCAGGGTGGAAGCGAGCGGACGTTTGACGCAGGACAGACGCCAACTGTTTGCTTCTGCTCAAGATCATCCCGTCAAACCCTTGAAATGGAGACCGAGGTGATTGAGGCGGGGTAACCACTGAAGGGCGCGTCATTCATTGCCCCTAAGCCTCCAGTGCAGGCTGATCGAAGCCCTCACCTCCATGATTACAAAGGGGCCTCATGACATCAAATGTTGGCATGGCCGGCATTCCTGGATAACAAGCTCTTTTCAAGTGCGTGAGGAGCACTGTCAGAGCTGCTGCCTGTCAGGCGTCATCATCTCTGTTTGCCGACCTCTGTTATATTGCCCAACAAAACCAATTATGCGAAATGGAAAGGGCACAAACAAAGTAAACTGCCACTCTGGGGAGCAAAGACCTCCACCGGGAACAAATTATCCTGAAAGTCGAAGTCATTCCATGACCAAGGTCAGAACTCAATTTGCTCTCATATTAAAAAAAAAGAAATGTTCTCCATTCAAATTGTATTGCATAAAAAAGCAGTAAACCGTTCCAGCAACTCTGCAAAACAAAACCTACAATTTTTTTGTTACATGATTTTGAAAAACGAAAAATAGCATTGTTGTTAAAAAACAAACAAACAATCAAACACAATAAAAAATAAGGAAAATTTCTGCAAAAATATTGAATGGCCAGTCCGTAACCTGCATTTGAGACTCTCTCTCTCTCTCTCTCTATATATATATATATATATATATAGTAGAGGTGCAAAGATTAATCAACAATTAATCAATTATCATCTTTAATCGATAGTTTGTTTATCAATTAATTGTTTTGAGATCTCCAAATAACAAGAAAATCTCAGTAAATTAACTAAAAAAATGTTTTTTATTAGAAAAAATATGAAATGAAAAAATACTGAATACAAAAAAAAAGGAAAATAAAAGACTTTCCAATTAATGAAAATAAAGTGAAGGAAATTAACCTGAAACAAATGAACAAATAAATCTGTGCGAAAAAAACAACAACAACAATAATGAAACCTAAATAATTGGAACTTAAGATGACGCAAGACAAAAAGCAACTTACTTTGACTGCCCCCTCGTGCCGAGTCGTCTGGTGGTTAGTGCTGGAAACTGTTGTCTGATAATCTGTTTCAAAACAAAACGATGCTGAGTGTGCACTTTTCGTAGCTGAGACATTCGCACATTTGACGATGACAGAAACATTGTCTATAGTTCTTATTGAACAGCCATAAATGATAAGTTTCCCACTGTCCCCCACCCTTTTTTTTTGTGGCCATCTCCAAGGGTCGGGCCGCGGGTGGAGGAACTTTAGCAAACAGTGTCGCTCTCCATTGTGTGCCATGAAAACAGAGGCCAAGCTGTGAACTTTCTGTCAGGCCCCCCGCTTGATAAATGAGCAGACAGAGGAGGCGGTGCAGCACCCGCTCTCTCTACTCCTCTTCTCTCCCTCTTTTTTTTTTTGTCCTGAATCAATGAAGCTTTCCTAAAGGACACCCCACACCGCTCCAGCCACTGATCTAACATTCCGCAACATCTCACCCTTCCAAATTTCCTTTAATTACACATTAATCCTGGCCCCTTCTCTTTTTCAATATCTTCCGACAGAAGCCGCTGAGGGGAAAAGCGGGGAGGGGAGGGTTGGCGTTTTTTTGGGGGCGGGGGGTCCAGCGCACGAGGGCCGGGTGGCTTTGTCAGGCTTGTGAGAACGGAGCAAAGTCGGTCATCTTGTCGGCGGGATTGGATTCTGCCGCTGGAGGCTTCACACTGAGGCCGAGTGGGGAAGCTTTGCCCGCCTCATTTAGTGCAAAAACTCATAAAGAGCCAAACTCTATGGAGGGCAGGACGCGAGCTACATTTCGGGGAGCGTCAGGATAATTATGCAAAATCAAGAATTTTCTTTCCCAGCACTATTCGGAGTAGGGCCCCACTGACAGGGAATTTTTTAGGCCGATACGATTCAAATATGGGGCAGGATCAAATTCTGATAACCGATTGAGTGGCCGATGTTTTAAAAACACACACACACACACACACACACACA